CCCCAAAACCCCAAAACCCCAAAACCCCAATTAGGATTTAAGATTTGATTTGAGTAAGAATATAAGAAATTAGTTTGATAGTTTATTCAGTTTTTCTTTAAGGTCAGATTTAATGGATTCATCACACTGGGATAACTGGACTTTTATAGCCTTGGTGGCTAATTTTTTAAGTTCTATCTCGCCCTTTTTCATTAGGTTGTTAATACTTGGACAAAACTCTTGAGGTCTGAGGTCGTATATTACTCCTTTACTATCTTGGAAACACCCGGGATAACACTCAACTTCATGTACTTTCTTGAAGCCTCTATGGTCTAACTCTTCTTCTAACTTAAACTTGGATTCTGGGATTGTTCTTAGTCTGTTTTTGAGTAAGCCTTCAGAGTAATCATAGTTTGCTGGAGGCCAATCAGGGAGTACATACCACCATCTAGATCCAACTTCACTAACAAGTTCTTCCTTAGTATAAGCGCTGTCTTTATTTCTGCTTGAATTGTATGGCTTAGAAAGAGGTCTCTTGGCCTTTCCTCCATGAGGCTTCTTCTGGTCATCTCACTGTGATTTTTGCTTTTGTTTCTGTTTGATATCTCTCTTTTTATTAGCTTGTGGTCTTACCTTATTCTTGAGAGCGAGAGGTTTTCTTCTCTCTAAACTTTTGGCTTTGAGTTCTTCAATATCTTTCTTGCAGTTACCTATATTTGAAGAATCTGGAAGTTGAGGGTTTTCCAAGAAGTTATTTAACGCTTTTCTCATGAGGATCCTTCTCTCTTCAGCTGATTTATCCTTCATATCCTTGATTTTCTTGAGATTTGCCGTAAAGTGTTCTTTGAGCTTAGCATAGAGTAGATTAGTATCCTCTTGCTTATGAGTTTGTTGTTCTGACTCTTGCTGGTCTGACTCTTGATGATCTGACTCTTGATGATCAGACTCTTGGTGATCGGACTCTTGGTGATCGGACTCTTGGTGATCGGACTCCAAATCACTATCGTTGACACATCTTGTCCTACTAGTTTTGCTACTAAAAGATATACTTGGGTGTAATTCTCTAGCAGTGGGCGTCTTCTTGCCATCTCAGGACTGATACTCGGTTTCAGAAATAATACTGTCTTCCTTTGTGTACTCTTGTTTCACTAAATTGTCACAACAAGCTTCACTTGATGAAATCATTTTTGATATGGAAAATTCTCTTGAGTATAAATGGGCACGCCCAATTTTTTGAAGCTCCATCAAAGCGGCTTTTTGAGCTAAAAGATCTAAGATATGTAATATTCATATGAAAGTTTGGTTGATCAATTTGGGTTAGAACAAAAGATTTGTATCGTTGATACATAAAACTAGGAATTTGGCCCCTCTTGAAGGAATACTTTTAAGAGATTTGGAGCTTAAAATTACAAGTTTAAGAAATTTTGAGTAGATTTTAGGAGATAGTAGTTTTATAGATACTAATTTGATACATGAGAAAAAGGGTTGTCTGGTTTAAGACCAACGGAAGGAATGATCTGCCTGTTAGAACTAGAAAGATTTTCTACATTTTGTTATTTAATGGATTTCTGCTGATATTCAAAATTTTACAGGATCAATGATTGAGTAATTCCAAATACTATTGGTTTTAATGTATCTGTTTGTATTTATGTTTTGGATAAATACGTTTTAAGGATAAATTATCAAATTCTAAAAAGAACAAAAATGCGGACTAAATTTTAGGAATCGATTAATCATACCTAAATCAACATTTCCCATGCTCATAAAAGCTTAATTTACCCAATAAGCATCGATAACCACTGATTATATATTCCCCAAAATTATCAAGAACACACTTAAACCTCCCTCATCTCTCCATCCTTAACGCCCCAAGCCACCCTATTACCAGATCCCAGAACCTCCCCACTAATTCTCAGCCACCAAAGTCCTCGTTCACAGTACAAATTTCAAAATTTTAAATCTCCACTTTTGTTAAGAAGTCTTCCTATACATTAAGCCAAAATAGCAATTTCTTCAAATTAGCTTAGAGAAAGGTCTTAGAAATTTATTCAGAAATCTCTTGATAGCCCTCTGGTTCTTTTGAAGGCATTGCCTTGGAAGAGAGATCAGTATGGGGCTGAGGAGCCTCCAGAGGAGGTAGAACAGGTTGATATTGGGGCTTCTAAGGGGATTTTATGGGATTTGCGGGAGAGATAGATTGTAACATACATCTCTAATCTCAATTCTATAGATGTATAGATTGTAAAATCTATCGAATTGGGTAATAGTGATAGCTCCCTTCTATCTGAGAGGCTTTACAACCCAGCTGAAGTAGCTGAGTTAGCCTTCCTCCTCAGATTGGGTTTGCTGGGTATTGCCAACAAGTCTGATACTCCAATCTCCCTCAATGTCTTTGTAGATTTTGAGGTCTTTATTAAGAGGTTTGCCTTCTCAATAAATTAATCTTCTCCTTGTAAGCTAGTTATTTCTTCTTCCAGTTTATCTTCTTCAGCATTTGTAGGTATGTGCGGGGCTCTTCCTGTCCAAAGAACATTGGAGAGCTAATGCACCCAATTTTTTATCCTGTTTAGATCTTTTGCTCTTGAAGCATTGTACTCTTCATTGATAGGCAAACTTCTATCATTTGATTCATTAAAACTCAAGCAATCCTTAGGAATTTTAGATATGGTGTGAAATATATGAGGAATCTGAGCTTTCAAGAAGATCCTCTCTTTTCTTGAGAACACAGGGTTGTTATTTAATTAGCATTCATATTTTCTTACTGTACGTTTAATATTCCTAACTGCTAAGATTTATTAAGGCTTAGAGTTTGACAATTGAATCCAATCGAGAAGAGAATCATCAGTTATCCATTAAAAACATGAGTTGACTCCTTTTCTCTGTCTTCTGCTCCATTTGCTGCTCTACTTTCCTTTTAATGAGTAGATTTCCTTTCGTGGCAAAGTAGCATCTTAAACTCCCTAAGTATTTCTCCAGAACCTGAATTGAGCAGCTCCACACCTTTAAATAATTTCTTCATTTCTTGATAAATCCTATAACTTCAAGCTTTCACAAAGAAAATGCCTGCTTATTCTAATATTTTTATTGTGAGATAGAAATCATCTATGAGTTTCTTGATTTGTTTTCGAGTAATCTTTCATCCTCTTCAGTGGCAAAAGTCGATTCTCTATTAAGCCTTCGTAGTCTGGCAATACAATGATTGATGATCATACTCTTAAGTATAAAAGTGTGCATATTTGTATGACTTTAATTTGATGGGTCTTTAATTTCAAAATGCATCTTTTTAATAATTTTAAGATCTCCTCAATTCTATAAAAGGAACCGTACTGATGATACAGTATAACTCCACTACAGATCTCCCCCATGAGGGTGTAGAAATCAAGTATAATTTTTCTGTATTCTTTCCGCCTGAAGCCTATCTTCCTTAAACTTGATTGTCTCCAGCCGACAAGCCACGTATTTTATTACTAATGAAGCTAAAATTCAATAAAAATAACTTATGTGTGGGCTAAAATTTCCCGTAATGATGCTCATGTCTTTGGTGATTTAAATTAGTATTTTTAACTGAGCAACCACTAATTTTAAAGACTGATTAATGTATTCCAAACCGCATGCTAAAAATATTAAAAATATGGTCATGTTTCAATGAATTTAATTGGATTAGGGGTTTTGGGGTTTTGGGGTTTTGGGGTTTTGGGGTTTTGGGG